TATAGGTTTCTCAGGAGATAGATAAGGTGGTCAGGCACTCCCATTTCTTTAAGGACTTGCCATAGTTTGTTGTGGTCCACACAGTCAAAAGCTTTTGCATAGTCAATGAAGCAGAAGTAGATGTTTTTCTGGCTTTCTCCATAATCCGGCGCATGTTAGCAATTTGGTCTCTTATTTCCTCTGCCCCTTCAAAATCCAGCTTGTACTTCTGGGAGTTCTCGGTCCACATACTGCTGAAGCGTTCCTTGGAGGATTTTGAGCATAACCTTGCTAGTGTGTGAAATTAGTGGAATTGTACGGTAGTTGGAGCATTCTTTGGCACTGCCCTTCTTTGGGAGTGGGATGTAGACTGACAGGGAATCATAGAATCATACAATTATTGACTTTGAAGGGGCCACTAAGGCCATCAACTGCAACATCCTGCTCAGTGCAAGAATCCAAATCAAAGCAGATCTGTCAGATGGTTGTTCAGTTTTCTGTTTAATAGCCCTAGCGTTGGAATGTTGGAGAACCTCTTGATGTTCCCAGGATAGTCGTGTTATTAGCAAATGATTGTTTTTTTCTCCCTGTCTTATAGATAAGATTTGGGCCCCATTTTTTGACATGCTAGTTAGCTTGTTTTCCACATCTTGTTACATCTATTTTATTGTTGTCCCCATACTATCGTTTACTCTGCTTTCACATAATTTGTTCTCCAAAATTAGTTAGACTGTAGTGACTGGTTTCTGGTGAGGAAGACAGGGATGGAGTGGAAATAAGTCTCAGTTCTAATGGGAAGAGAGCCAGATGAGAGATCATAGAAACAATATACTTTCTGTCAAACCTAAAGACATTCACTGAGCAAATGAACGAAGATCAACCAAGCATTTGGTATATAAGTGGCTAATTGCATGTCTTAAGTTTCTCTAGCATGCATTAATATGTGTAACACAAATACCTTACCTCGCACATCTGTTTTTTTGTAATGTTTACATACTATAAGATGCTACACAAGCAGTATGTGTTTCTGCTATTTTCACACTTCGCCATTAATTTCCTGAAGAATGATATATGACTTCAGATCTGCATAGCATTATTGTGCATTCTCCAGATGTTTTTAGTCCTTTGGATGTAGGAAACATAGATAACCTGTTTCCCCAAAAATAAGACCTAACCTGAAAATAAGCGCTAGTATGATTTTTCAGGATGCTCCTAATACAAGCCCTACCCCAAAAATAAGCCCCAGTTAGGTGAAACACCACCTTCCACCATTGTGCAGCAACCAGAAGATGACATGGCTGTATTTGAATAAATGTAGATTGCTGTACATGAAAAAATAAAACATTCCCTGAAAATAAGCCCTACTGTGTTTTTTGGAGCAAAAAATAATATAAGATCTTGTCTTATTTTCAGGGAAACATGGTATGATTAGAGAGATGATGTGTGGCTCTCTTGATTATATGATACATCTACTCAACCACATGTAACAATAATCATTCCACAATCCCCTACACATATGCAGTCCTAATAGTGTAATAATATTTAAAACTTTAGTAAATTAATTTGAGTGAAAGAAAAAAAATCAAAAACCAAAAAGTCTTTCTAAACATTGCAACTCTGTCTCTGCTTTATAGGTCTGTAAAATGACTCATAGAATGGCTGCAAAGGGGTATATACACACCACACCTTACTCTGAGCGTGGTATCAAGTACTTAGAGAAGGACTGTATGGGAGGCAGGGTTTTTTTTTGTTACTAAGCTTTTTTTTAACCAGGAGAAATTTAGTCTACTGTATTACTTTAAATAACCCCTTTTCTTAATTTAAATCACTGACCATCTTAAAAACCCTACAAATGCTGGATGGAATGCAAAGGGTCTATTGGGATATTGCTGCACCCTGGGTGGAAAGAGGATCTCCTTTCTCCACCTTGTAGCTGCCCCAGAATTGCACCAGTGTGTTTGATTCAGTCTGTTTTTGCACATGTGTCTGTACTATATATCCCAAGAAACTTGGTCTGCATAGGACTGTCAGCTTTTGCAGCCTTATTCTTACACCTTATTGTCGGATCCCTTGGTTATGAACTATAGGTAAGTTAAATGACCCTCTTCTGGGCAGTGAAGTGAAGTGCATTCAAAATTTCGAGTAAGGACAGGGTGATGAGTTGAAATACATGGTTGTGAAAATATATTTTGACATTTAACGTGTTAACATAGATTTGCATGATTTGGGAGCAGGGTTTGGGTGCATACATTTTCAAGTGCATTTAGTTTTTGGTGGGATGGCATTGGGTATTCTTTACTTCAGTTTCTGGTATTATGTCTATGTGAAGCTGTATATTAAGCCATTCTAGCTTGCTGTACTGTTCTCTAGCTCAGAGCAGAGCAATGATCATATACATTATTTTAAACACCACCATCCCCAAAAGCATCTCCCAACAAACCTTACCTGTGATTAGAACCAGGCATCCACAAAAAAGTCAGAATTTAGCAGCAATCTGGAGACCAGTTTTGCTTAAATGCTGCATCTTGCATATGATTTCTTTTTGGCAATGTACAATACAAACACAATACAAGCGTAAATGTTTTTAGGCAGAATGGATTTGATTTAAATCATAGTTTTAAAAAGTCAGAGTTTTTGACAATTTAAATAAAAATGGTTTTTAAATTTTAATAATAGAATCATAAAAAAGTGAAATTGGAAGGGGCCATACACATGTGCAGTCCTAATAGTGTAATAACATTTAAAAGTTTAGTAAATTAATATGAGTGAAAGAAAAAAATTCAAAAACCAAAAAATCTTTCTAAACATAGCAACTCTGTCTCTTTGTTTTATAGGTCTGTAAAATGACTCATAGAATGGCTGCAAAGGGGTACTGTCGTAATGCTCTATCAGTTAGGAGGTTTTTCCCAATATTCAACCAAAATCTGACTTCCTTTAACTTGAGCCCATTATTGCGTGTCCTAGACTCTGGGATGATTGAGAACAGATCTTGCCCCTCATCTGTATGAGAGCCTTTCAAATACAGTAGATGAAAACTGCTATCGTATCACCCCTGTCTTCTTTTCTCAAGGCTAAAATAAACATGCCCAATTCTTTCAGCCTTTCCTCATAAGGCTTGGTTTCCAATCCCTTGATCATTCTTGTCTTCTGAAATTGTTCCAGTTTGTTAGCATCCTTCTTGAAGTGTGGTGTCTGGAACTGGACACAATACTCAAGGTGAGGCCTAACCAGCGCTGAATAGAAGGGAACTAATACCTCACAGGATTTGGAAACTATACTTCTATTAATGCAGCCTAAAATAACATTTGCCTTTTTTGTAGCCACATCACACTGTTGACTCATAATCATGTTTTAAATCTTTTTTTTTTAAATTATTGAAGTTTATCCACTCTGATTTTAAGTAAACTCTTGATTTCTGGGTGAATGTGTAGACTGAAATGCAGTTGGAAAATTGCCAGATGACTTCTCTCCATCTGAAGGCTTCCAAAGAATCCCCCAGGGCAAAATGTATCCCTAGGGAGCCTGAAGAGGAGGGGATAGATATTTTAAATTTACAGAAAGAGTAAGGTTGCCATGTGATGAAATCAACCTCATTGTGGAGTATAAAAGTTGTGCAACAGAATTTTAGCCATACTTATCTAAAACTGGGATAAAAGTTATTCTGGTTTACCTGGCTGATAGAGCTCCATGGATTTTGTCTAGCTTTAAAAGCAAGCCATTATTTTTCATCGTCACTCCCCCAGGTACTCTGGCATATATAGTATTTATTTTAGGTTTTGATTATTTCTCAGTTCTATTGTGATAAGACTTGTAGAGACTTATGGAAGTGGACTCACTTTGTGCTGAGTAAATAGGTGCAGAATGATGTTTGCTGCTTGGCTTCTGGTGATCATACATGCAAACCCTGATAGTTATTAGGTGGCATTGATGAACCTGATCATACCTGTAGATGAGTGTGTAAATCAGTTGCAGTGGCTTACCTTGTGTATTTGATTTAATGCAATATTTTCAGCTTCATTTTTGTTTCTAGATATTATCTTGGCTGCCTCAGTAATTGGGAGTTTTGACAGATAGGCATGGGCCTTTCAGAGTTTTTGCACTTCAGCCCGCAGAATTTGCCAGAAATTCCTGAGCTGGTACTTGAAAGATTCAAACTCCTCACAAATTTTAAATTGCACACAAGTGGAGAAGGAAGCTTCCATCAGCCATTACATCACCGTGGAGGAAATAGGTGGGAGTGGCTAAACTCTGTGGGATCAGCAAGGGCTGAAAGAGCTGTATTTTGAGTGGCACCCTGTACAGAGCCTAATGGGCAAAGAGACTACCAGTCTTCTAATCTCTTGTGGCTCACATGGAGTTTAGCCAGGCCCACTCAGTTGCTCTTTCTTCTTCACAGGGATGCAATGGCTGACAGAAGCTTCATTCTTCACCTTCATTCCCTCTGCCTTTTGGCAGGTGAGCAAGGGCTGAAAGAGCTGTATTTTGAGTGGCACCCTGTACAGAGCCTAATGGGCAAAGAGACTACCAGTCTTCTAATCTCTTGTGGCTCACATGGAGTTTAGCCAGGCCCACTCAGTTGCTCTTTCTTCTTCACAGGGATGCAATGGCTGACAGAAGCTTCATTCTTCACCTTCATTCCCTCTGCCTTTTGGCAGACGACTGTTCTTTATCATACTGGAAGCTTGCTAGACAAATACAGTTGTGCCATTTGCCATGATTGTTGCTAATCCAAGCATGAGGGCAAAATTATGTTTGTGGCTAGAAAAACAGGTCATTGCAGACCTTGAACAGGCAGGTGAGAAATATTTATAACATCACTGGAAGTGTTGTTTTGGTTGCTTCTGGGTTTGTAGGTACCATTGTTGAGTGAGTTAATTGTATACTTTTGAGGTTTCTTTTGGGTAAACCACTGTGAATTTGAGGACATACCAGAAGCTGTTATAAAAAGTTTTTTTTTAAACCAGTAGAGTGATTGAGGCCTATGTGAATAGCCTTGCATTACATTTTTGCACTCCTCCATCTGTCTTCACTTGCTGACTTTTCACTTGACTACCAAGTTTAAAAGATCTGTTTGAACGCATTCATAAATTAAGGTTTTCCCATTTTCTGTGGTCTGGCATAGTTACTTGATAGCTGTGATTATTCACAGCAACTTCTACAGTACACCTGATAATGCTTAAGGGAATGTTTAGTAAAGTGAGAATAATTGTGACTTGTTGAACTTAAGTCCAATAGAATTATAAAGAGCTTTTATTGAATATAAGTGTAACTCTGTTGCAATTTTTATCAGAACGGAAGCTCATTTTCAGTATGAAAATCTGGCTAATATGGATGCAGCAAGAAGTCCCATTTTAAAACTGTCAGCTTGCCCTCTTTTTTCTGAAATATCAGAAATATCATTTCACTATCTCTTATGTTTTTCTTCTAGGATATTATATATTTTGTTCTGTATAAATCATAAATGATGATAAATAAATGACACTGTACAAATCTCTAAAGCATGCTGTAGTGTAGCCTACCGCAAATTGATGTGTCCCAGATGATTTGGACTATACCTCCCATAATTCTTGGTTAGTACAGCCAGTCATTCTTGATGATGAGAGTTCCTCATCATCAAGCTGTCTTGTCAGGATGTTTGGTAACATTTCAGCTTTATTTTTGCCACAGTCATGGGGAGGGAAGCTAAGACTCAAAATTAATATATGATTATGTCAAATTTTGGTATTTGTAGTCACTATTTAATCTTTTCTTTTCTAGTCTAAGCCTTATGTGTTTGACCGTGTATTCCAGTCGCACACATCACAGGAACAAGTGTATAATGATTGTGCAAAAAAGATTGTCAAAGGTAAGAGAAGACTACTTAAGATATATAGCAATAAAAGTTATGAATCACAAGTGAAGCTTTGTGGGCATAGTGCATCATTCATCTTGTTTTTTATCTGTGTTTTTGAAATACTGATTATAGTAATGGCAGGAAGGAATTAATCTGTAGTTCAGTGAAAAATGACATGATGTTTGTGTCCGATGTTTCTTCAGACCAGTTTTGTTCCCAGTCTTTTCCAGTTGTTTTGAAGCATGTATCAAGAGTTGATACATTTTGTGAGGATGGGTTTTGGTCTTCTTTTCCAAGGGTGGACAGAAGGCTGATTGGTATCTGTTGGTGGCAAATTGGTAAATATTTCTTTCTATAACACGGTGCAGCTCTCCAGAGGTAGCTGGATTGAGAATCGCAGAAGAGCTATCCAGCATAAGTAGTGGTGAGGAATGCTGAGGAATTGCTGTAGTCAGGTATTATGTAGAGAGCCACATCTCAAACAAGCTGGTTTAATAGTAAGAAGAGCAAAATAACTCTCCATTTCTGGGATAAACTACTGGGAAAAAAGGAAATATTTAAGCAGCCAACAATGGGTTATGAGTTCAGCCTCATTGTGATGCTTAAAGCAAATTCCTGTGCTCAGCAACTGCTTAGGAGATTATACTTCTCAATGTATGTTTTCCACGTCTGGCTCCAGTTGGTGGTTCTTTGGGTTTTAGTAGAATATAAAGTTGATTGCTCAAGCATTAAGTCTTATTTCCTTTTTCTATCCCAGCGATGGCTGAATGTATATGCTTGCCTAAATTTGAGTTTATTCCTTTTATTTTAGTTTACTTATTTATGTACCACTTTTCTCCTTATGTAAGGAGTTGAACTATCCAGCCTTGCTTTAATGAATCTGCTGGTAAAACCTTGGTGCTGGCAACGTAACACATTGAAGGGGTTAGGGCAGCAGTTCCTGACCTTGTGTAACCTGTGGGTTCTTGGACTGTAATTTCCATAAACCCCGGCCAGCAGGTTGGTGGTGAGCGCTTCTGGTAGCTGCACTCCAAGAACACCTTGGTTACCTAAGGTTGGGAACCACTGGGTTAGGATTTCACAGATGTGAGTCTGACTATAAATATAGTTTAAAAAGTAATCTTTCTTAGTCTTCCAAAATTGTATGGGATATATATCCTTTGCAATCATTACATTTATTTTTCCTTTTTTAAAAATAAACTGCTCGTCTATAACATTGCCTGGGGCTTTTGGTGGGAAATATTTCCTATGTAGTATTTACTTTTCCCTTCTTTCACATTTGTTGTTCTATACTACATGAGTGCCGCTATGTTGCATGCAGCCTGTTATTTCTTCCCAGAATATGTTTAAAAATCCTTACAGAAAACAGTTTCAAGGCAAGTTGTTTTGTTTTACATGAGATCTTATGGAATATAAGCATACATTTACTTCCACCCTAGATGTACTTGAAGGATACAACGGTACAATATTTGCTTATGGACAAACTTCATCTGGAAAGACTCATACGATGGAGGTAACTTACATACATAGAAGTATTCTACATGCTAACAGTTCATATTTCCTTTTAACTACCCTGTTTCCCTGAACATAAGACATAATATAATATAAAAATAAGCCCTAGTTAAGTGAAACCCCGCCCTCCACCATTGTGCAGCATCTATTTGCTAGTAAATCTAGGTCCATTGAAAGCGGAACATTCTGTGTGTGCTACATTGTAAGTTTGACTTGTCGGGCTTTAACTGCTGACAGTGTAAACAGTGGTGCCTCGACTTACGAACGTCCCGACATGTGACCATTTCAAATTACGACCAGCTCTGGCCGCAAATTTTTGCTTCTATTTGTGACCGGAGCTCCGAGTTACAACCAGAAAAAGGCAGAGGAAAAAGGCGGGGAATTCAAATTGCTAACTGTTGGTGGCGAAGAGGCTGCTTCTTTGTAGCTCTTTCGCCCCAGCAGTTAAAGAGAGTGCAATCAGAGGAGGCTTCGGACTGCCTGGTAAGGTGCTGCTTTCTGCTTTTTAAAAACTTTTCTGGGTGGGTTTTGCAGTGTGGTTTTGCGCTAGGTGGTGGGGTTATTTTCCATGCTGTGATGGGGTCTTGCAGGGTTTGTTTGTTTTTGGGTGTTTTTTCCCCATTTCTGATGGGGTCTTGCATTGTCTGTTTGCTTTTTGGATTTCTTTCCCATTTCTGATGGGTATTTCAGGGTCTGTTTGCTTTTTGGGTTTGCTTTTTTTCCCATTTCCAATCTGTCTTGTAGGGTCTGTTTGTTTTTTGGCTCCTCCCTCCCCCCCCCCCCCCACTCTTTCTGTCTCTTCTCGGGTGCGTTTTTT